GCTGACAGGGCTGGGGGGACTGGCGCTTGTGAGCCTCGTGCTCGGGGGCACAGGGGAGGAGCTGCTATCGTGGTCACTGGCCCCCTTCCTGGGAGGCAGGGGGGGTTTCCTGCACGCAGACCCCCCCTTGCCTGGCCCCGACTCCTTCCTGCTGCCCAACGTGGACGCCTGCAGGCCCCGGGCCCCCTTCCTGCTGGTGCTGGTGGCCAGCGCGCCGGGACACACGGCCCAGCGCCAGGCGGTGCGTGCCAGCTGGGGGGGCGCCCGCTGGGCCGGGGGGTACCCGGTGCGGACGCTCTTCGCCCTGGGGGCACCGGGCTCGGGCGAGGAGCAGGCCCAGCTGGAGGAGGAGTCCCAACGCCACGGAGACCTGGTCCAGGGCCGCTTTGCCGACACCTACGCCAACCTGACCCTCAAGACCATGATGCTGCTGGGCTGGGCGGCCGCCCACTGCCCCAGCGCCGCCTTTGTGGTGAAAGTCGATGACGACGTCTTCCTCAACCTGCCTGCCCTGGCCCGCCACCTGGGGGCGCTGCCCAGCCCTCGCCAGCTCTACCTGGGCCGGGTCCACTGGCGGGTGCAGCCCAACCGCGACCCCAGCAACCGGCACCACGTCCCGGCCTCCGCCTACCCGGCTCGGGCCTTCCCCCCTACTGCAGCGGCACGGCCTACGTGCTGTCCAGCGACGCTGCCCTGTGGGTGCTGGGGGCCGCCCCCCACGTGCCTCCCGTGCCCCTGGAGGACGTCTACGTGGGGCTGTGCGCTCGCTGGGCTGGCTTGGCCCCCACCCACACAGCCCGCATGGCTGGATCCACCCACTACCCCATGGACCCCTGCTGCTATGGGGAGGTGCTGTACAGTGTGCACCAGGTGGGCCCTCAGGCGCTGGAGGCAGCCTGGGCTATGGCGGGGGGAGAAGGGGGATCCTGTACCCCACTGCATAGGGGGCTGGGGGTGCTGAGGTGCAAGGTGCTAGCTCTGCTGGAGGGTCTGTGAGGGGCGGGGGGGGCTGGGAGCCAGGACTCCTGGGTTCTATCCTCAGCTCTGGGAGGGGAGTGGGTTCTAGTCCAGTGGTTCTCAATCAGAGGCACGTGTACCCTTGGGGTACGCCAAGGTCTTCCAGGGGGTGCATTGACGCAGCTAGAGATTTGCCTAATTTTACAACAGGCTACACAACAAGCACTAGTCCAGTCAGTACAAACTAAAATTTCATACAGACAATGACTTCTTTATACTGCTCGATGTACTATACACTGAAATGCAAACACAAGATTTATATTCCAATCAATTTCTGTTATAATTGTATGGTGAAAATGGAAAAGTAGCAATTTGTCAGTAATAGTGGCTGACACAATTTTTATGGCTGAGCTAGTAAGCAAGTCGATTTTAAGTTAAGTGAAACTTGGGGGTACGCAAGGCAAATCACACTCCTAAAAGGGGTACAGTAGTCTGGAAAGGTTGAGAGCCAGGGCCCTAAGTGGGGCAGGGGTGCGCTGGGAGCCAGGACTCCTGGGTTCTAACGCCAGCTCTTAGTGCAGTGATGCTCAGTGGGTGGCCTGGGGCCAAATGTGACCCGGCAGCTCACCTTAAAAAAATGTTTGTAACTAAATTTATTATCAGCTGTGTGCTGCCTATGGCTTCCTTCGTAAGTAACGTCCTGGAGCTTAGGTTCTCCAATAGCGTCGGCTACGAATGAGTTGGGACGCCGCCTGTTTTATCATTGGTGATGTAAATGGAGCCGGAAACGAATGCGAGTGGGGGAGTAAACGTCGCAAAGTCGACAGCGAAAACCAAGCTTTTAACCCAAGCTGCACAGTGGATTTTCTCTTTGTTATGCTGTCGCATTTAAATGCAAAGCCTTGGTGTTTCCTCTACCAAACCACTGGATCTGTCTGTAAGGTCGCCTCGGGGAGGCGCCACTTTGACTCAAAGCACAGTCACTTCCGCGCGGCCTGGCCTCCTCATGGTGCTGCAAAATGTGACAAAATTGAAAACATGAAGTCTTCGTGTCACACCTGAAATGTTCTCACGAGATCAGCAACTGTACAGGGGAAAGCAACAGCTGCCTCTCGTTGGAGAATGTGGGCACTAGCTAAAAGGAAAAGGCTTTTCCTGGATGCTGAGCTCGTGAAGGAGCGCACATTGGAAATGCTGGAGGAGCTCTTTGCCAGGGATAAAAACAAAGTTGACATTGTGACCCGTGTGACGCAGGTTCCCCTGTCCGATTCCATGGCAGTGCAAAGAGTGGCTGATATTTGTAATTTATGTGGATTGTCTGTCAACACTGCTTTCTGATTTAAAAACGCCAAACACACATCTCCTGCAGTGGACGAATCATTTAAGTTACACTCCCCAGCTAGTGCTGTTTGTTAGATTTTATGATGGTGAAATTTTCAAGGTAGAATTTTTATGCTTAATACTATTAGAAACCTACCCCACAGGAAGGAACCATCCTCTGTCGCCCATTCCCAGCTTCTGGCAAACAGGGGACACCAATCCCGCATCTGCTCAACTTCTAGCTTGCAACATTGTTTTTATAAAACTGTTTTACGAGACATTTCAGCCAAATTCAGTGACCTGTTGCAGCATGATATTCGCTGGTTAAGCAGTGGGATTCATGATACAGGTGTTGTGCGCTTCAAAAAGAAATAATAGAATTCCTTTCAAACCACAAAAACAACAAGGCTTGCAAGGTCCTGGAATTTATGAATTATGTCACAAGTAGCTTTTCTGTGCGATATTACTGGTCACTTGAATTCCTTCAGCTTGCAGTTCCACGGTCATGCAAGCAGTGTCAGGGATCTGTTTGAAAAAGTGTGTGCCTTTCAGAGGAATCTTGAAAATTTTCAGGCAGACTTTGCAGGAAAGCTGTTGCACTTTCCCACATTACGTGGTGTTGTTACAGATGAAACCTCGATGAAAACGCTGCACGAATTCCTGAACAATCTGATCAAAAATTATAAAATGGGATTTGAGAACTTTAAAATTCCCAAGGATTTGATTTGATTTGTTTTCTCTGCTGATGGCCCTTGCCCTTCTGAAGCAAAGAACACTCTTGATTCAATCAATGAAGGGGCCTTTCTATTAGAAATTGTAAGGCTCAAGAGCTCAGATGTCTTGAAGGCAAAATCCAGAGAAGCGGGACATTGCAAGTTCTGGACTCAGTCTGCTGATCAGTTTCAGAATAGCCAGCATCTGGCTTTTAACCGTGTTCGGACCAATGTACCTCTACGAAGCTGGGTTTTCTGCCATGAATGCTATAAAAACCCAGTATCGCCATCACTTGAGAGACGAGCATTTTCATGCGTGCATGGCCTTAGCCAGACCACCTACAACCCACTCATCACGTTTGGTGCTGTCACCTCTCCCACTAGCGAGTGCCACAAACACAGGTAATAATGTTGAGTTATAAACTGTGTTAGAAGAGAGAATCACTAATACTTTCCTTGCCTCTCGTTGGAGGGGCTTTATTTATTGGCAGCTGAAGTGTTTTTTGTCAGACATCTGTACCAATGGGCTGCCTTGTGTCATAACATTCTCAGATTGGCCCGTGGGTAGCTCTCATTGAATATCACTGAGCTAGTGGGTTAGAATTTGGTCGGGGGGGAACCAGAACTCCTAGCGCGTTGGGACAGTCAGGGTCAGTCTGTGTAGGGCACAGCCCAACAGGGGCCCTGATCTCGCTCATGGGTCTGTGCCACGCCTAGTGAGGGCTGTCAAGCTTTACCTGTAAGGGGTTAAGAAGCTCAAATAACCTGGTTGGCACCTGACCAGAAGGACCAATAAGGAAAGCAGATACTTTCAAATGTGTGTGTGTGTGTGGGGGGTGTTGTTTGTGCTCTTTTTTTGTTCCCTCTCTGGACGGAGAGAGAAGCCAAGCAGGGACAACATCTCCTGAAAATATATCTGGAATAATCCATCTAAAAATTACAGAAATTGTAAGTGAGCTAAGGAACTGCATTAGGTTATCTTTTGTTTTAGCTTGTGAATTTTCCCTATGCTAAGAGGTAGTTTTATTTCTGTTTTTGTAACTAAAGCTGAGTCCAGAAGGGAGTCCTCTGTGTTTTAAATCTTTTTATTACCCTGTAAAGTTACCTTCCATCCTGATTTTGCAGGTGTGATTCTTTTACTTTTTTCTTTATAATAAAAATCCTTCTTTTAAGAACCTGATTGATTTTAGTGCCCTAAAGATAAAGGGTTTGGGCTGTGCTCACACTGCAAACCAGTTGGTTGGTAGATTATTCTCAAGCCTCCCCAGGAAAAGGGGTGAAGGGGTTTGGGGGAATATTTTTGGGGAATAGGGACTCCAAGTGACCCTTTCCTGAATTTTTGTGTAAATCACGTGGTTGCGGCAGCGATACCATCCAAGGACGAGGGAAGGAATTTGGGGCTTGGGGAAGTTTTTAACCTAAGATGGTAGAATATAAGATTAGGGGGTCTTTCAGGTGAGTCCCCACCTCTGTACCCCCGAGTTCAGAGTGGGGAGGAAACCCTGACAAGGGCCCTGTGCTGCACCCAGCTCTGGGGAAGCACTCGCACATAGACTGGATGGGATGGGATGTGGTGGTGGGCACAGACTCTGTAATTAGTGTGTGGGCGGGAACAGGAACCCCCCTTTCCCTCAAGGAGCTGGTACCTGCTCATTGGGGTCCCTGGCAGCGGGTGGGGATGGCAGGCTGGGCAAGCCCTGACAGGTCTAACGCCTGCCAGTCCTCAGCACCAGAGAAACGTCTCAGCCCTTTGGAACCCGTGCTCAGTTTGTGCCCTCAGCACCAGCCCGTTGTACAGACCCACCCGAGCCCGCACTCGGCTCCCAGCCACGGTCCCCGCTCCGCCCAATGCATGCCCCCCACCTCGAGTAACCCCCTCCCCTCCCCCAAACACTCCCCGCTGTACAGAACCACCCGAGCCCCCCGGGTCTGCACTCGGCTCCCAGCCACGGTCCCCACTCCCCTCGAGTAACCCCCTCCTCCTCTCTGCCCCAAACCAGAGCCAGGCTAGACAAAGCCAACGACAACTTTAATACAAAAATATCAGGGTGACAGTGCAGGGTGAGTGGGGGACCCCACCCTGCTCCCACCCCACAGCCCTTACCCCGGAGGGGATGGGTAACGCTCGTGACCCCTTTCGCCCCCATGGGGGGCAATCCTCTCCCCCCAACCCCCACGAGGTTATTTCCTGAATCGATCCAGAGCCGACCTCTGAGCCCGGGGTGCCGCCTTCAGCTCTCGCTCCACCTCCTGCTGCTGCTCCAGGCTCTTCCGGATCTTGGTCTGGGGGGAGGGGGAGCGGGGGTGAGCCAGGGACACCCCAGTAAATGGCCCAATTGGGGGGGGGGCACGACCCAATGCGGGGGCGACCCTAGGAACCAACCCCCCCCACCCCCCAATTCACAGCGTAATGGAGCCCTGGGGTATGGGGGAGATGCCCCCTGATGTCACTGGCCCAGTTGGAGAGGGGAGTTGTGGTGGGGGGCGGGGCACCCGGGAAGTCCCTGTTTGAGACAGGAAGTGGAGAGCTGGCTTTTGGGGGTGGGGAGCAAAGTCTGATGGGTAAGGACTGGCCCAAGGGCGGATGGGACAGACAGGTGGACAGTAAGGACAGACGTACCCGTTGCTCCTCATTCGCCACCTTCTTTTTACGACGCAGGAGGTTCCCGGCTGAGCTGCGCCCCTTCAGCTTCCGGCGTGGCTGGAACGCCGGCTTGGCCTGGGGGTCGAAGCCCTGGGGGGCAGGGGAGGGAGGGAGAGAGAGTCAGTCCTTCTGTATCCCACAATGCACCATAGTGCCCCTCTGCTCTCCCCCCACCAGCTCCTGACATGCCACAGCGCCTGCGGGCACTGCGGCATGTCCTCACTGTGCCACCCCCCTCACTCTCCCCGCCACTTCCCACAATGCACCACGGCGCCCCCGCGAGACAGCCACGGCACTGCCCGGTCCCCACAACCCGCAATGCCGCCCCGTGTCTCCCCACCACTTCCCACAATGCACCACGGCGCCCCCGCGAGACAGCCACGGCACTGCCCGGTCCCCACAACCCTCAATGCCCCACCGTGTCTCCCCACCACTTCCCACAATGCACCACGGCGCCCCCGCGAGACAGCCACAGCACTGCCCGGTCCCCACAACCCGCAATGCCGCCCCGTGTCTCCCCACCACTTCCCACAATGCACCACGGCGCCCCCGCGAGACAGCCACAGCATTGCCCGGTCCCCACAACCCGCAATGCTGCCCCGTGTCTCCCCACCACTTCCCACAATGCACCACGGCGCCCCCGCAAGACAGCCACGGCACTGCCCGGTCCCCACAACCCGCAATGCCCCACCGTGTCTCCCCACCACTTCCCACAATGCACCACGGCGCCCCCGCAAGACAGCCACGGCACTGCCCGGTCCCCACAACCCTCAATGCCCCACCGTGTCTCCCCACCACTTCCCACAATGCACCACGGCGCCCCCCAAGTCGCTCACCAGCCGCGCCACTCGCTCCTGGTGCTTCTGCTCCATGGTGATGGCATCTACCTGGCCCAGCTGCCTCGGGTCCAGCGTGATCAGCTCCGACGGGATCTGCCGGGGGCCAAGCTGTCAGGGGCGGCCCGGACCACCCAGGCTCCCCCCCCCTCCCATGACACCACCCCTCCTGGCGGTGCCCCCGCAGGCACCCCAGCTACCCACCCCGGTGTCCCCACAAGGGTTGCCCGTGAACCCCTCCCCCCAGCCCCAGAGGTCCCTCCCTTAGCATCTTGGACCCAGAGATCCAGCTGACCCCCAGCTGGGGCTGCACGGTGGGGGGACGGGGCTGGGCACTGTGTGGTGGTTGTGGGGCGACGTTACCTTCTCCAGCAGGGCTTTGACCTCCCACTCCTGCCGCTGCTTCTGGCTCCGGAACGGGTTGTTCTCCAGGGCGTCGAAATTCGCCTGTCCAGCACCTGGGATGCGGGGGGGAGAGAGACAGGAGGTTAGTGGGGGGGGGGGGTGGGCAACAACCCATCCCCCCTCTACCATGGACACAGCCACACAGCTGTACCAGGCCCCCACAGGCTGTAGCGGGGGGCACATGACAGGCAGGTCAGCTACTGGGCACTGTGGACATGGGGGGTGGGGAGGTTATGAGGACATAGTGGGGGACCATACCTGGCACCAGGAGGCTGGTGATGCCGCTGCCATGCCCTACGCCCAGCACGTCCTCGAAGGGGCAGAAGCGCAGGCCGTGGGCCGCCCGGGGCAGCGTGTGCGACAGGTAGGGCTTGCGAGGCAGGTGCATGGGCACGTCCCGGTACACCTGGGGTGGGAGAGGCAGACATGGAGGATTAGCGCCTGCAGCAGGGCCTGGCTCATAGGGGCTGTCAGAGCATAGGGCAGTCAGAGCTCCCCCTCGGGTGGGGGACAGACAGGGCCCAGGCTCATCAGAACAGGGGCCAATGCCAGGTGCCCAGAGGGAATGAACAGAACAAGAAATCAAGAGATCCATCCCCTGTCGCCCATTCCCAGCTTCTGGCAAACAGAGGCCAGGGACACCACCCCTGCCCATCTGGGCTAATAGCCACTGATAGACCTGTCCTCCATTAATTTATCTAGTTCTTTTTTGAACCCTGTTATAGTCTTGGCCTTCACAACATCCTCTGGCAAGGAGTTCCACAGGTTTATTGTGCGATCCGTGAAAAAATACTTAAACCTGCTGCCTATTAATTTAATTTGGTGACCCCTAGTTCTTGTGTTATGAGAAGGAGCAAATCGTTACCTAATTTTTCCACACCCGTCATGATTTTATAGACCTTAATCATATCTCCCCTTAGTCGTCTCTTTTCCAAGCTGAAAAGTCCCAGTCTTAGTAACCTATCCTCATACAGCAGCCTTTCCATCCCCCTCATCATTTTTGTTGCTCTTTTCTGAACCTTTCCCAATTCGAATAGATCTTTTTTTAAAATGGGGCGACCACATCCGCACGCAGTGTTCAAGGTGTGGGCGAACCATGGATTTATAGAGAGGTGATATGACCTTTTCTGTCCTATTATCTGTCCCTTTCCGAATGATTCATAATATTCTGTTTGTTTTTTTGGCTGCCGCTGCACATTGTGGACAGTTCTTTGGAAACATCCACTCAATGACCCCAAGATCTCTTTCTTGAGTGGTAACAGCTAATTTAGACCCCATCATTTTGTAGGTATAGCTGGGATGAGGTTTTCCAGCGTACATTACTTTGCATTTATCAACACTGAATTTCATCTGCCATTTTGTTGTCCAGTAACCCAGTTTTATGAGACGCCTTTGTAACTCTACACAGTCTGCTTTGGACTTAGCTATCTTGAGTAATTTTGTATCATCTGCAAATTTCACCACCTCCTTGTTTACTCCTTTTCCCAGATCATTTATGACTATGTTGAATAGGACTGGGCCCAGTACAGACCCCTGGGGGACACCACTATTTACCTCTCTCCAAAGCAGTTCGGGGGGGGGTGGGGTGGGAAGGGGGTTTGAGCAATACCCAGTCTGTGGGAGAAGGATGCAGGGCGGATGGGGCCCTGCTGAGCCCAGCGAGAGAGAGGGGGACAGCCCGGAGTATAAGGGCCCCTCCTTTACCTGCACCACGGCCCCACAGCTACCCCCAGCAGCCCCCGCTGGCTGAAGGCCAGGTGCCAGTATGTGGGGGGAGGAATAGGGGGGTGTCTGTGTGTGCAGGGCCGGGGGGGATCGTTACCTGGACCACATCCCCGCAGGCGGCCCCCAGCAGCCCCCGCTGGCTGAAGGCCAGGTGCCCGGCGCCCATGGGCAGCACCAGGGAGTGCAGGGGCTGATATGTCCGGAGGTCGTAGACGCGCAGCTTCCGGTCCAGCCCCGATGTCGCCATGTACCTAGAGGGAGGTGGGGGGAGACCCAGAGCATGATCCCCCGCCACCGCACAGTGTCACCCCAGCCCCGACGTCGCCATGTACCTGTGACATGCCATGTCACAGCGTGACCCCCACCCCCGCCATATCCCACCCAAGGAAGGTTGGGGGGAGACCCACACCATGACCCAGCCCCAAGCCTCCATCCCCTCCCCCCATATTCCACCTCTGCCCTGATGACACCATGTAGCTGGGGGGAAGTGGGGGGAGACCCCCCCCAGCTCCCCTCCTTCCCCCACATGCACCCCTGCAGCCCCTTTTCCCTGTTCACCCCACTCGGGCCCCTTCCCCACCATGGCAGGACTGCCGCCCCCGAGTCACTCACGTTCCGGAGCTGTCGACGGCCACGGCCCGGACCCCCCCCTTGGTGGCACAGCATCCGCACCAGGGGCTCCTTGACATTGGGGCTCCACAGGGTCACCGTGCCTGCGGGGGAAGGGCCCACAGAGCACGAGGAGTTAACGAGGGGTCACCCCCCACCGGGCACAAGGGGTTAGCGAGTGGTGGAAGGGATGGACAGGGCCAGGTTCACCGCTTGAGGGTGGGGGGGCTAAGGGGCCGTCATAGCAATGGGTCTGACTAACCAGGCCAGGCTGAGGGGGCAGGAAGGAGATGAGGCCAGCGGTCCCCAGGCCAGAGTGGGGCCACGCTGAAGAGCTTGATGGAACGTCGCTGTCTGAACCGGTGCCTGCCCCAGTGATGGGCTGTGCCCTGCCGGGGGGGGCAGGGCAGGGATGACACACAGGGTGTGAGGGCCCTGGGAGAAACACTCCTAGCAGTGTGGGGCAGGGGACATTGGCGCTGTGGGGGGGAGCTCCAGTTATGGGGTACAGGTGGTGGCAGGGGATGTCTCATCATTGCTGTGCCCCAGGTGGACGAGGGCGGTGGGGTAGCAATGGGGCGGGGTTGGGGGCAGAGTTGGGGGGTAGCGGTGAGGTCGGGTCGGGCGTAGCAGTGGGTTGGGGCGGGGTTGGGGGAAGAGTTCGGGGGTAGCAGTGGGGCTGGGGGGTAGCAGTGGGGCGGTCTCACCGTTGCTGTGCCCCAGGTGGATGATGGCGTTGGCCGGATTCTGCCCCATCACGCCCAGGCGTCCCCCCCGGGTGCAGATGGCAGCGACCTCCTTCCCCACCGAGATGTCCAGGTACTGCAGGAACCCCGTCTCGCTCTGCACGGGGGAGGGGGGGGGGGTCAGTGGGGCACCAGCCCCCCAAACCCTGGCACCCAAGCCCACCCCCCGCTTTACAGCATTGGCCAGCAGGAGCCCTGGTGTGCAGGCCCCCCTCTTTCACTGTGGTGGGCAGCGGGAACCCCGGCCACCGGCCCGCCCCACAGCGGCCCCCCGCCCCAGCACTCACCGCGGTGGCCAGCAGGAAGTGGTAGGGCAGGAACTCCATGCGTAGGACCCCATTGAAGCGCTTCAGGCAGTTCAGCTCCACGCCCTGGTTGTCGTAGACGTAGAGCCAGCGCCGCTGGGCCACCGCGAACATCGTCTCCGTGTGCAGCCACCTGAAACGGGGGGCATGAGACGGGGGGTGGGGGGGGCCACGACGTGTCCCGCTGCACGGCTCAGCCAGTGAGCAACCTGCAAACTCCGTCTGTGCAACATGCCTCCTCGTGCAACTCTCCCAGCCTCCCTGGCCGTGGGCGGGCACGGATGTGCCCATTCACCTTCCCGATGGACGCCCACCCGTGCGATGGGCATGCCCTGCTGATGCACCGTTACACCTGCCGGGAGCAGCGGATGCAGCCCCGCCCCCCCGGGCTCCCCTGTGCCGCACGCCGCGCCCGGGTGTCACCCCCCCCCCCAGTCGCACACTCACGTGACGTCAGTGACCGTCTCCATGACATTGATCTCACACAGCAGTGACTTGGTTTGCCAGTCCAGGGCTGCCACATGGCCCCGCCGGCCCCCCAGCAGCAGATGCCTGCGTGGGGAGATGGGAGGGGTGAGGGGAGCACACACACAATCCAGTCTCCATATGTCTCCTGACCTGCCCCTCTGGGACCCCCAGAGCAGGTCAGGGGAGGCCTGCGGGGTCAGGGGTCCCTGACGCAGGCCCTCCCTGACACAGGAGAGCCCAGTTGGGCCCTGCCTCTCCAACGCCTCCCCGGAAGATATGTTACCTAGGTACAGCCAACCCCAACACCTTCCCCACTGATTCCCACCTGCCCCACAGGTTCCGCTCCCTCCTACTCTCCCCCACATGCTCCTCCCTGCCCCCCCCCCTCACCTGCCAGGTCGGGTATAATCCATCCTGTAGGGGCCAAACTGGTTCAGTCTCAGCTCAAAGTGCTATGGGGGAGAGACCTGGTTAGACACAGCACAGGGACCCCCAACCCCGGTGACCCTGCCCCCACGCCACTGAGACGCTGCCCCGGGATCCCCCCGGCAACCCCCTCCACGCCACTGAGACGCTGCCCCAAGATCCCCCCTGCAATACTGCCCAGTGACCCCGCCTTCCTAGGGGCAGCCCCTCCCCCTGCCATTCCTCCCACCCCACGACACCCCCAAACCCGGCGCATGGGGGTGTCTCTGACCTTAGTGGCGCTGACAATGTCCGCGGCCTCGGCGATGTCAGCCTGGGCGATGGTGCAGGTGTCCTCGCCGGGGTCCCCCTCCAGGAAGCTGCAGGGGGGACGGGGGTGAGAGTCAGGAACGGACCCAGCACTGGTGGGGGAGGGGAGCCGGCTGGGAGCCGGGGCGTGTGTGTGGGGGAAGGGGGGTCACCCATCCCATCCGGGGCGGGGAGAACCAGCAGGCAGCCCCGGCTCAAGTGGCAGCACCGGACGGGGGCCCGAAGGGAGGAGACGATGGGGGCACTGGGGCAGCTGCCCCAGCTTGGGGGGGGGGGGGGGAGGGACGACTCACCCTGGCTCCTCGGGCAGCAGCAGCTCCATGCGCGCAGCCTGTTGTGTTGCCAGCTCCACCTTCTGCTCCAGCGAGGCCAGATGGTCCCGGAGCCGCCGGCTGGATGCCCCTGCCTGGGGGGGTGGATGGACGGACAGACAGACAGACGGGGTGAGAGCCGCACGTGGCCCTGTCCCTCCCGCCCCCCACCATTGGGGGGGTCAGTAACCATGGGGAGACCCCCTCAGGGACAACCTTGCCTGGCAACCCCCAGGCACCCAGCTGCCCCCCAGTTTCCACCACGCCCCTCAACTCACCAGCTGCGATTTCTGGCCCCGCTGGAATTTCTTCACCTTGTGGAGGGGGAGGGGGGCGGCGCCGGGGAACGGGTCCCTCTTCTAGGGAGAGAGGGACACACAGACAGATGGGGGTGGGAGGGGCCTGCTACAGGCCCCCTTCTCCCCCTAGAGGTACTTCCCTTTGCCATGCAACCCCCCGGCCCTCCTCCCCCTGACCTCAGCTGCCCCTCCTCCCCCCATGGCCAGCCCCCCAGGATTCTCAGCCTTACCCCAGAGATCCGGCCTGCAGCCCCTGACGCCGGCAGCCCCTTCCTGGCCTCCAGGCTCCTCTTTGCCCCAGCCCGCAGCCTGGTCTTCTCATTGCGACGCCTCTTGGCCCTGAGGGGGGCGGCTTCAGGGGTGTCCGGCTGGGAGGCCCCTTCCCAATAGCGCTGCAGCTTCTTCGTCAACTTCTTCTTCGGGGAGGGGGGGGGAAGTGGGGGGAGGGAGGGAGAAAGGGGTGATGAATCGTGGGGAAGAATCAGTTACGCCCAGCTCGGGAGGTGGGGAGACTGGCAAGAGGATGAGACATGGGGAGTTAGTTCCCCTAGCTAGGAGGGTGGGGGGCACAGAGGACAGGGACTAAAACTGCCCCCCAACTTGTGCAGAGATACCTGCCCCACAGGGCAGAATAGCTGGCCACTCCCACTGGCCTGATGGGGAGTGCCCCCCACCCCGCCGGGCAGAACCACCAGCCACAACACATAGTCGGGGGGAGGGGGTCTGCCCCCAACAGGGAAAGACTTAGTCCCCTGCTGGGATAGGGTGGCAAGTGCCCCGCGGGGCGAGGCTGCCCCTGCTGCAGCCCCTGCAAGAGGGCCAGCCCTGCCCCCCAGAGCACTCCGCGCACAAGCAGGGACGCCCCACGGATACAGCCAGCCCCTGCCCCGTGTCTCCCGGTTACTAGAGGAGCCCGAGAGACCCCGCCGCCCCACAGACATGGGGGCAATAAACTCCCCCCCCAAAACCCCTGTAATTGGGAGTTCGGCCCCTGCATGCACCCGACTCGTGTTAGTGACCTGCCCCCTCCCTGCTTATGACATGGGGTAACCACCCCCCCGGGGAATCCCTGCCCCACTCCTCGGCACTCACCTTGCCCGCCCCGGCTGGCCCCCCCTGCATCCCGCTCCCTGCCACCACCTCCATCCTGAGCGCCTGCAACCACGTGCAGCCTCCAGCTGCGGGCCAGGTTCTTCCGGTCGTGGCCGCCGCACCCAATCACGGAGCGAGGCGACTGAGCCCACGGCCAATCAGCGCGGCGACAACCTGCCCGGTAGTGAAGCCGTGCAGCTGACATTATGGGCGAGGGCAACTCGCCAGCTACGGAGACGCGGCGGCCATCTTGGGTGAGGGCACAGGCCTGGACCATCCCATACAGACCTACCGGCGGGAGAAGGCCACTGCATTCGCCACAGCCCACGTGGTAGGCTGAACTCACCAGCTCCACGCTATTGGGCACAGAGATGCAGCCACCTCTGGGGAGGGGCAGGGGGTTTCACAGAGTCCAAGGCCAAAAGGGCAGCGACCAGCCCCACCATAACCCCCAGCACTGAATTAATTTGAGAGAAGCAGCGAATCCTCATTTAAAACCCAACCATGTCCAAGAATCCACCCCCACCCGCTTGTGGAAATTGGTTTAATTACTCTCAGCATTAAAAATTGATGCCTTATTTCCCATGTGAGCTCATGTAACTCCAGCACCAGCCCAAGGATCCTACTGTCAGACATTTGCTTGGCAAGCAGATACCTACAGCCGGTCACCCACAGCCCCACAGATTGACCTCCCGGTGCCTAGCAGGAGACATTTCCATTCCTCTTTGTTTTCAAGGCTCTTCGCTGACTCCTCCAGCTTATCGACAGCCTGCTGGAAGTGCAGGTGGCAGAACAGGACCCCGCTTCCAGCAGCAGGCAGGCCAGGGCCCTGCCAGAGGGAAAATCACCCCCATGCACAACTCCCGTTTCTGCATCTCCGCATCCCATTGGTGAGGTGCAGCTGTCCGAGGTGGGGCAGGGGGCTGTTTACGCAGGGATCCCGCAGGAGGGCACAGCCGCAGGTGGGGCAAGGTGCAGGGTCTGAAGCACTGTGCACAGGCTATGAAGAGGCATCCTGTACCCCACTGCCAATTGTCAGTAGTGCAGGATGCAGCAAGGAACCCCGCACTCCTGCCCCAACACCCCTGGGGCTGCACGGACCACCCTTACCCAGTTCATGGGTGGGAGGGCCCCCCCGAGACCCAGTCCCACACCAACCCCCTCCAGCGCCACCCTACGGAATCACCCCTGTGCCCAGGTTTACTCCTCCCCATTGCCCTTCCACTAAGGCGATGACCACCCCCTAATCTCTCCCCACTGGGGGCCACTCCCTAGCCGCAGAGATCCCCCTTCCCCACACAGTGAGGAGGCAGCTCTGAGAACAGCACTTTATTGCAGACACAGGGCAGACACTACTTCTTCTTGGAGACGCCGACAGTTCTGCCCCGGCGCCCAGTCGTCTTGGTGTGCTGGCCCCGCACGCGCAGCCTGGGGGAGAGAGGGGAGTGAGACGGGCCCAGACCCCGGCCCGCCCTGCTCCCAGATTCCAGACCTGCCTCCCCAACTCTGAATCCACCCCCCAGCCAACTCCCTATGGCCCTGCAGCCCAGCTCTGCATTGTCCCATAACCCCCTGCTACGCCCACATGCAAAGGCTCTGCACCCAGTTCCCCCTCCCCTTATCCAACCCAATGACCCCTTTTATCTTCACCCACCCGTCCCCCACTCTGCAGCAAAGGATGAAGGGGACCCCCCACATCTCACAGGGAGTAGGCGAACGGACCCACCCCCGTTCACTAGGCCCCACCATTCACCCCTCCCACCCCCACAACTCTCACTCCTCTCGTACCCCCAGAAGTGGCGCAGGCCCCGATGTGCCCGGATTTTCTTTAGCCGCTCCAGGTCTTCGCGTAGTTTGTTGTCCAGCCCGTTGGCCAGAACCTGACAAGGAGAGAGACATGGGGGAGGGGAAGTCAGGCACAGCTGAGCCATCCAGCCCAGTTTCCCTCCGCAAGAGGGGCCACTGCCAGCTGGGGAAGAGCCCACAGGGGCAGCTGTGGGACAATCTGCCCCACATCAGGGCTTCTCCTGATCTGTGATCATCAGAGATCAGCTCAGCCCTGCAGCACGAGGTTTGAGATCCTTGCCCATTGTCAGCATGAACTGGTCCAGCTGTGAACAGTCTGAGAGCCACAGAAATGGCCAATCCCTTTGTGAACCTGGCTCAGAGACATCCTGTGGCAGTGAGTTCCACAAGGTAAGTACAGGGCACATATAAAAAGTCTTTCCTTGTAGCAGGTTTGAACTTAGGGTTAGGGCATGCATGCTGGGACAGGATTCTTGTTAACTCTGCAGTGACAACCAGCCCTGGGAGACATGCGAGGGCCCTAGTGGCAGCCAATGGGCTGGTGCCACCCCAACACACTGGGATGACAAAGTCCCCTGCTGCCTACGGGACCCCAGAGCAGTCCCTGCAGTGGGGAAAGGAACAAGCCCTGCCCGCCCCACACTGCTTTGATCAGGGCTCCCCCAAACACACACCTAGCAATGGGCTCAGCACCCCGCTCTCACCTGGCTGTATTTGCCATCTTTGACGTCCTTCTGCCTGTTGAGGAACCAGTCGGGGATCTTGTACTGACGGGGGTTCTGCATGATAGTGATGACACGCTCCACCTGTGGGGGGGGCACAGAGATGGGGTCAGGCAGGGGGCTCCCCTCACCCCAGAGAGACCTCCCTCCTTCACCCCAGACATCCCCCGTCCAAGACATTCCCATGCTCTCGACACCAACCTACACCTAAATACCCCACAAAAATTCACCACCCACCCCAGACACCCCTCAGCTGGCTCTCAGATACACCCCACGCCTCAGCCCCCCTTTCACTCCACAACTCCCCACCCAGACCCCGAGGTGAAAGCCATACCACCTTCATCCCAGAGACCCCAGCTTCCCTTATAGCCCCCCACATCTGAGACAAATGCCATCCCCCATGGTCCCAGAGAGACCACCCCCGCCCTTGCCCACCTCATCCTCTGTCAGCTCCCCAGCCCTCTTGGTCAGGTCAATGTCCGCTTTCCTCAGCACCACATGGGCATAGCGCCGACCCACACCCTGCAAAGGGGAAGAAACGTTAATACGGCCCCAGTACCCCCCACCGCATAAGGTTCCCGGGAAGCTCTGTCTCTGATGCCAAGAGCAGGACCCCCCCCCCGAGAACCTGCTTCAAGAGACACCCATGGTACAGCCCAGATCTAACCCCTGCCCCATACCTGTCTCCATATACACCCCCACCCTTGCCCGTGTAACAGACAGGCCACGGGGTGGAACCTGGGACCTCAGGAGCTAAAAGCCCACAAGGCTGTTAGCTAAGGCTGTAGAGCAGACTCAATCTCTCTCTGGGTGGTCTCGGTGCCACTCGATGGGACAGAACCCCACTCCCGGGAGGGGTTTGGGTTATGCCTGCACCCCGCTCAGTGAGACCTTGTGACAGGGAGTTCCTTTGGCTAACTGCATGGGGTGAGAACCTTTGTAGCCTGACCCCCTTCTCCATCCCAGCTGTGCAGCACCTCTCCTTCCGCCAGGGCCGGCCTGGCCACTCCACCACACTGGGTCAGCCTTGGCCCCTAAGTCTTCTCTGGCCTGAACTAGAGATGGGGCACCCACAGCAGAACCCCATCTCCCCAGGGAGGGCACCCCATGGATGCACACAGAGGCACTGGGATGTTTGCAACGTTCTCTCTCTGGTACAGCATTCCCAAGCCCCCCAGGTGGGGGGGGGGGGGGAGGGGAGACGGACACCCAGCCGTGCCCCCCGGAAGGGGGACAGACACCCAGCCATGCCCCCCTCACCTTGATGGCGGTGATGGCGAAGGCGATTTTCCGTCGCCCATCTATGTTGGTGTTGAGCACTCGCAGGATGTGCTGGAATTTCTCAGGGATCACAAGAGACTGTGGAGAAAATGGGGGTTGGGGGGTCAGCAGAGGAGAACTGGCCCCTATCAGTGCCCCCTCTGAAGACCCCCCCCACTGGGGATACACTCCCCCCAAGCCAGGAATCAGCCCCAAACCTCTGCTCCTCCAGGAAGCAGCCGCCCCCCCCCACCTGGTTGTTATAGATACCAGCCAGCCCCCCGCCAGCCTTGCCTCCAGTGCCAGCCCCCCTGAGCCCCCGACCCCTCCCCAAGCAGTCCCCTCCTACCCCCCAGGAGCCAGCACTTCCCAGCTTCTCCCCACTCCAGGGCCAGTCCCCCTGGAGCCCCCGACTCCTCCCCCCAACAAATAGGGACCCCCCCGCTTCTACCCTTTCCAGGCAGCGTTCGCGGGCCCCGCGCCCCCAGCTGCGGGGCGGATGGACCCCAATTCCCCCCCCCGTCTCTATCCGCCCCTTGGATCTGATCGCGGCTGTTCCCCCCAGTGACCCTTTCTGCCCCCTATCGCCTCCCCAGGGAGCCCCCAGCTAGAAATGGAGGGCGCCCCAGAAAGCCCTGGCTCCACCCTCTCGGACAAGCCCTCGCCAGCCCCGCTGCCCCCTTCCCCGGGGCGGATGAACCCAGATTCCCCCCCCCCTCTCACCATGGCGGCTACTCCGCGCTCTAGTCTCACCCCGTCCGGAAGAGAGAGAGGAAGTGACGCGATGCCTTTTATAGACACTCCCCCTACAGGCAGATAAGCTTCCGGTCAGGGCAGTTCACCTTCCGGCAGAGACGACAGACTTCCGGTCCTCTCCGTAGTCTTTCCGGTCATCCTCCCGCAGAGTTCCCCTAGGGACAGCGCTACCTGGTTGGGCAACCATATGTCCGGTCCGGGTATGAAACCTGCCCCATGATAGAAGGTTTCTATGGGATTAAATCCCCTCTATTTGGTGGGGGTGACCCCCTTCGACTCCGGGGGGCATTTTCATGCCAGTCACTCTCTTCCGTTCCCGAAAGGAGGGGTTTGTTACCTCATTTCCGGTAACAGCTCTACCCCCCCCCCACCCTGTGCATCATGGGAGTTGTAGTTTTTTTTAAGGCGCACGGCCGGAAGTGAGCCCTTGGAGGCCCGGATGCGGCTGGAGCGAAAGAAGGAGCGGGGCGGGGACGATGGCGGCGCTGAGGCCCGATGAGGAGCTGGGGCTGCGGGCGACTGAGATGGAAGAAGAGGAGGGGATGGTGAGGTTCCCACAGCCCAACTTCCGGTCCCCAGGCACCCCACTTCCGGTCCCTCCCAAAATAGGCCCGTGGTAGGGAACCGCCTCCTGGTGTACAAATTGGCCCTCACCTGTCATCTACCCCCCCCCCGCAACGTGCTGGGGGGCGGGTCTGGGCCTGGGCAGGGTTTGCAAGTGACCCCCTTAAGGGCTGTGTGAAATGTGGGAGCCTGAGGCTTCTGTGACCTTTGACCCTGACCCCACTGACTCCAGGCCCTTGCTTGCATCACTCTGACCCCAATGCACCCCCTTGCCTGTTCATGTGAGCCCTGATCCTCGTAACCTCTGACCCCCTGAACCTCCTCCCCTCCCCCCTCTGGTGCCCCTAATGCCCCGGACCTCTGCCCCTCCCCCTGCTCTGTTCCCTCTCTCTGCGCCCCCCACCCATGACTCAGCTGCCAAGGGCCCCACGTTGCCCCTCCCATCCGGACCCGGTGGCTCTGCCCCGTGGCTGGCCTGGTGCGTGGGGCTGCAGCACCTGGTGGCCGTGTGTCCCGAACTTCGAGGGACGTGATTGTTCCCCTCTATTCGACATTGGTGAGGCCTCATCTGGAGTACTGTGTCCAGTTTTGGGCCCCACATTACAAGAAGGATGTGGAAAAATTGGAAAGAGTCCAGCGGAGGGCAACAAAAATGATTAGGGGACTGGAACACATGACTTATGAGGAGAGGCTGAGGGCACTGGGGATGTTTAGTCTTCAGAAGAGAAGAATGAGGGGGGATTTGATAGCTGCTTTCAACTCCCTGAAAGGGGGTTCCAAAGAGGATGGTTCTAGACTGTTCTCAGTGGTAGCTGATGACAGAACAAGGAGTAATGGTCTCAAGTTGCAGTGGGGGAGGTTTAGGTTGGATATTAGGAAAACTTTTTCACTCAAAGGGTGGTGAAGCACTGGAATGCGTTACCTAGGGAGGTGGTGGAATCGCCTTCCTTAGAGGTTTTCAGGGTCAGGCTTGACAAAGCCCTGGCTGGGATGATTTAGTTGGGGATTGGTCCTGCTTTGAGCAGGGGGTTGGACTGGATGACCTCCTGAGGTCCCTTCCAACCTTAATATTCTATGATTCTATGATTCCTAAACACCGAGCGATGTTTGCTACCCTCGCTGAGTGCTGACCATGTTCCCTCTAATTTTTCCCACCCATGTGCGGAATTAATTTTGTTATGTGCACCGATGCATAATCACCCCCATATTGGTACTCGTAACAAAATTCATGTGGTGGGGTTGGGGCCGAGGGGTTCGGCGTGTGGGAGGGGCTCAGGGCTGGGGCCGAGGGTAGGGTGCGGGGGGGCGTGAGGGCTCTGGCTGGGGGTGTGGGCTGTGGTGTGCGGCCGTGGATGAGGGTTTTGGGGTGCAGGCTGCCCCAGGGCTATGGTGGGGAGAGAGGACTCCTTCCAGCTCTCTCTCCCCTTAGCAGCACCTGGGCTGGGCAAGGAGAGGTGCCTCTCCCCACCACGGCAGCTCTGGGGTTGGGGCTGCAGGATAGGTACCCCGGCCCCGGTAGGTCCGAGCTGGGGCTGGGTTCGGACTGCGGGAGGGGCGCCCTGGCAGGGCCAGGCCAGGGCTGGGAGAGGGGTGCCGCAGCAGGTCCAGGCCGCAGCAGAGTTGGGGCTGGGGGAGGGATGCCCCATCCGTGGTAGGTCCCCGAGTGGGTTCCCTGAGTGCCTGCACGGCACTGAATAGGCTGCTGTGTGGCCACGCAGCTTACAGGGAACTTAGGCGCTGACCTTTGCCAGTGCTATGTATCCTCTGTCTCCACGTTAGCCATGATCTTTCACCCTCTGTGGTGCCCCCAACCCCCCATAACCTCTGATTCTTCTATCCCCATCCATCCACCCTTGCTCCATATCCCCTGAACCCACCTTCAGCTGTCATCTTTGACCCCACACTGCCCCCCATGACCCTGGGACCTCCTGTTTCATGGGTGATAGAACCCCACTGACCCCTTTTTGTGCCCCACACCCCATAGCTTCCAAGTCCCATTCCATGCCCCCGTAGTCTTTTATCTCTGCAGTGAACTCTATGTTTGTGCTCCCTTCTTGACCCCCACTTGTCCCTCTGTTCCTAGCCCACCCCATAACCCCGCGCTCTATTCCCTGAACCTCTATAGCGCTTACACCCCCCAGCCTCCGGCCTGTCTAGCCTGGTTACTAGGTGTACCTCCAAGATCCCTTCCCCAGAGCCTGCTGGAGCTCACTGCTCCCCCACAGCCCCCCGTAACTGCCTGCCCTGCACTCCCTAGGGCCGTGGAGAGGAGCAGTCGCTGCAGCTGAACCTGGGGGACCTGGACCTCACCTCTGATGAGTTCATCCTGGATGAAGTGGACAGTAAGTGCGGGGGGGCCTTACCCCTGCACAGCAACCAATGGGGGGCAGACAGTGATCTGGAAAAGTGGGGGAGGGCTGTAAGGTGGGGGAGACCAGGAGTAGTTTGGGTGGATGGAGGGAGGTGGAGGAGCACTGGGGGGGGGGAATGCAGGGAGGTGGGGGTACTGTGGGGAGGTGGGTTTGGGGGACGACTGTTATTGGGTACTGACCCAGTCTCCCCTCCCTCAGTTCACATCCAAGCCAACCTGGAGGACTCCCTGGTTCAGGAGGCGCTGAAGACGGTAAGTTGCCCCCCTCCTCCCTTTCCTGAAGCAGGGGCCCAGCTGAACCCCCCCAGCCCAGGTGACTCTCCCCTCTCTCCCCAGGGCATGGATCTGCGGCAGTACTCCAAGCAGGTGGAACTGGAGCTGCAGCACATTGAGCACGCCTCCATCAGGGACTGTATCCTGCCCCATGGAGTCCCCCCTAGGGCCCACTCTCCGGGCACAGTGTGGGTGGGGGCTGATGGGGGGAGGCCGGGAGGAGGTCTCCGTGTCAGGGGTAGGTCCTTGCACCCTGGCTGTACCGCTGTACCACTTCATATCCTGGGGTGTCTCCCTCCACACCAGCAGAGAGGGGTGTTAAGGGGCAAACCTTCCCCAGGAGAAAGAGGAAAATGGCCCCTACCCAGGGCCTCTCACGTGCATTCCCCCCGCCGCCTGGCTGGCTTGGCCCCCCCGTCCCCCCTGCCTATTTCCTTAGCAGCCTGCGTGCCCTGCAGACATCAAGGAGAGCAAGAACATCACCTCCCTGCACAACCAGATCACCGCCTGTGACGCCATCCTGGAGGTGAGCCCCTGACCACCCTGGGAAACCCCCAGCCCCTTGGGCGCCGCCCTCCAGCCCCCCACCCGTAGGTCACTGCCTGTGTTAACATCCTGGAGGTGAGACCTGGAACCCCATGGGAAACCCCCACAACCTCCTGATGCCCCCAAACTCTCCCCACTCCCCAGAACACTGTCTGCAGCCTTCCCTGGGGTGTCTCCCAGCCCCTGCACCTCCTTGCCAGGGAGGAGGGTGTACATATCTCTGACTGTTCCCCTCCCCCCGCCCCCAGCGCATGGAGCAGATGCTGAGCTCCTTCCAGTGCGACCTGAGCAGCATCAGCTGCGAGATCCAGACGCTGCAGGAGCAGTCGGTGGCCATGAACCTGCGGCTCAAGAACCGCCAGGCCGTGCGCAGCCAGCTCAGCCAGCTGGTGGACGAGCTCGTGGTGCCAGCTGCTATGATCAGGTGGAGGGATGGGCTGGGGGCTGGCCGCTGTGGTCAGGTGTGGGCTGGGAGGTGTGGGGAGGGCACTGTGGGGGGACAGGTTGCAGGGAGATGGGGGAAGGTGCTGGTGGGTAGGGGGCCTTGGGGTGCTGGCCACCACCTCTGGGGGGAGACTGTCTCCTGGGCCGGATGCGCAGGCTGTGAGGTGTGACCCTGGGACGCCTTTGTGCCTGCCTCCTGTCCCCCCCAGCACCATCCTGGAGGCCCCGGTGACCGAGCAGGACTTCCTGGAGCAGCTGCATGAGCTGAACAACAAGATGAACTACGTGAAGGAGCAGGCCTTCCGCGAGACCATGGCCTGCACTGACGTGCACCACGTGCTGGACCGGCTGAAGGTCAAGGTGAGCCTTGCCCCAGGAGACCAAGCTCAGCCCTTCCCCAGAGCTGGTCACACGGGTGTCGCAGGATGGAGGTGCGGGGGGTGTGGAGCTGAGGGGGGTGGGGAGGCACTGGGAGGAAAGGGAGGGTGTCCGTGTGGGCTCAGCCTGCCCTGTGGTCCGTGATCTGCTCCCCCTCAACCCCCTGCAGGCTGTGACCAAGATCCGGGAGTTCGTCCTACAAAAAGTCTACTCCTTCCGTAAACCCATGACCAACTACCAGATCCCCCAGAATGCCCTGCTCAAGTACAGGTCAGCCATGGGTTGGGGGATAAATGAAAATCTCCCAGAATGTCCTGCTCCAGTACGGGTCAGCCATGGGTGGGGGAGGGGGTGCTAAACGGGAATCTCCCAGAATGTCCTGCTCCAGTACAGGTCAAGTACAGGTCAACCCATGGGAGTGGGGACGGGAGAGTACGGGGATCTCCCAGAATTCCCTGCTCTGCTACAAGTTAGCCAGCGGGCATCTGGGGCTATGGAGCTCTCCCAGAATGCCCTGCACCAGTGGCGGGCAGTTCTCCAGGCTGACGCCCCTTGGCAGGTTCTTCTACCAGTTCCTGCTAGGGAATGAGCGGTCGGTGGCGCAGGAGCTGCGGGAGCAGTACGTGGAGACCATGAGCAAGATCTACCTGTCCTACTTCAAATCCTACACCAGCCGCCTCATGAAGATCCAGGTGAGGGGAGCCCGGGGAGAGTGGGGCAGCCCTCGGGGTGGTGGTGTAGGGAGCCCCATAGGGCAGGCGTGTGGGGGTGGGGATTCCCACACACCGTGCTCTGGTTCCCCCCCCATGTGAATGACGGGGTGGGGATGGGGGAATCCACCCTAACCCCCGCCGTCTGTCCTGCAGTACTGGGGGGAGGGGCTGGGGACCCCACACTGACCCCCGCCGCGTCTGTCTGTCTGTCCTGCAGTACGAGGAGGTGGCGGAGAAGGATGACCTGATGGGAGTGGAGGATACGGCCAAGAAAGATATCCTGGCTCCCTGTGCCTGGACAACCGCATTCCCCGGCACCCTGCAGGGAAAGGGTGTGGGGCTGTGGGGTGAGGGGGCTGGCTGGGAAGGCAATGGGGGGGGTTGGGCAGGGCAGCATCTCCCCACTCTTTCCCTTGACACCCTCCGCCACGGTTTTTCTCAAAGCCATCGCTGAAGAACCGCAACACAATCTTTACGCTGGGGAACCGGGGCAGTGTGATCGGGGGGGCCGAGCTGGAGGGGCCCATCATTGTGCCTCATGCCGCCCAGAAGAGCGATGTCCGCGTGAGCAAGTGGGGTCCTGGGGGGCTGAGACCCTGGCAGGGGTCAGGCTGTGGGAGTGGGGAAGGAGATGGGGAGGTGGGGGACAGGAGGCTTGGCCTGGCTGGGGTGGAGGAGAGGGAGGCTGTGACCTCTTAGGGCCAATGGATCAGGCGGGTCACTGGGGAAGCAGGTTGGGTGGGGGGCTGGGTGTGTGTCCCTCCCCCCCAACGGCAGTACCCCTTCGAGTTGCTGTTCCCCTGCCAGAGGGGTTGAGGGGGGCTGTGTCCTCCCCCTGAGCGAACACCCTCCCTCCCCGGCAGTACCCCTTCGAGTCGCTGTTCCGCAGCCAGCACTATGCTCTGCTGGACAACAGCTGCCGCGAGTATCTCTTCCTCTGCGACTTCTTCCTGGTGACGGGGCCCAGCGCCCAGGAGCTCTTCAACGCCGTCATGGGCAAGACGCTGGCCATGTTCCTGGTGAGCCTGGGGAGGGTGGGGTGGCTCGATGGGAGGTGATGCTGGGGTGTTGCTGCAGGGAGTGGGTGGGAGATGGTGGCTGTTGGGGGCTCTCAGCCCCTTTGACCCCGTGTCCGTGCACCCCAGAAACACATGGACGCGTACGTGTGTGACTGCTATGACAGCATTGCCATCTTCCTCTGCATCCACATCGTCCTGCGCTTCCGAGCCATCACGGCCAAGCGCAACGTCCCCGCCATCGACAAGTGAGTGTGAGCCCGCCCTGCTCTGCCGTCGGGTGAGAGCCCTGGGATCCTGGCTCCCAGCCCCCTGCTCTGACCCACTGCCTGCGCGGTGCTGGGAGAGAGCCCTGGGGTCCTGGCTCCCAGCCCCCTGCTCTGACCCACTGCCTGCGCGGTGCCGGGAGAGAGCCCTGGGGTCCTGGCTCCCAGCCCCCTGCTCTGACCCACTGCCTGCGCGGTGCCGGGAGAGAGCCCTGGGGTCCTGGCTCCCAACCCCCTACTCTGACCCACTGCACCCCACTACCCGTTCGGAGATGGGAGAGAACCCTAGAGTACTGGTTCCCAGCCCCGCCGCTCTACCCCACTAGACCCCACTCCCTTCCCAAAGCTGGGGATAGAACCCAGGAGTCCCGGGTCCCAGCCCCTGCTCTGACCGCTGGGCCCCACTGCCTGCGCAGTGCCGGGCGAGAGCCCCGGGGTCCTGGCTCCCAACCCCCTGCTCTGACCCCCTGCACCCCACTACTCGCTCGGAGCTGGGAGAGAGCCCTAGAGTCCTGGTTCCCCGCTCTACCCCACTAGACCCCACTCCTTTCCCAGAGCTGGGGATAAAACCCAGGAGTCCCGGGTCCCAGCCCCCTGCTCTGACCGCTGGGCCCCACTGCCCACTCAGATCCAGGAGAGAACCCAGGCGTCCCGCTGCCCCCCAGGTACTGGGACACGCTGCTGGAGATCCTGTGGCCGCGGTTCGAGTACATCCTGGAGCTGAACATCCAGAGCATCCAGAACACAGACCCCCAGAAACTGGGCTTCCTGGACACGCGCCCCCACTACGTAGGGGGGATGGGCACAGGGTGGGGGGGATGGGGAGCTCACCCTGGGAACAATGGGTAGTGTTGATGGGAGGGGCTTGAGGGGTGAGGGGGCTTTGCAAGGTGTGGGGAGTTAGTGGACGCTCATATGGGGTGAGGGGGGCTAGGGCTGTCGGGGAAGTGGGGGGACTGGCCTAGGGCAGGGTGAGTAGTTTGCAGGGGGTTGGGGTGTTGGGTGGAGATCAGGGAACGCCGGGGGAGGAGCGTCTGGGGGTCCCTGGGAACCCTGCTGTGCCCTCAGGCCCCTTTGTCCCCCAGATCACACGGCGCTATGCGGAGTTCTCCTCTGCCATCGTCAGCATCAACCAGACCTTCCCCAACGAGCGAACCCACGCGTTGCTGGGGCAGCTGCAGGTATGGGGGGCCCTGCCCTGCTGGGGGCGGGCTGCAGGTCTGGGAGGGAGACACAGCACAGTGGGGGGCGCAGTGGATACCAGGGTGGGCCCTGTGCTGCCAGAGGGCTATGGGTACTATGGGGAGGGAGATACAGCCCAGGAGACCCAGGAGTCCTGCGGCCGGGGGGGAGCTGGAGTCCCTCAGGCCCATGGTGGTGGGGCCCACCCAGCCAGGGGACCCAGGAGTCCTGGGGTCCCTTGGGCACTGGGGTCACTGACTCGGCCCCTTAGCCTCTGCTCTACCCCAGGTGGAGGTGGAGAACTTCGTGCTGCGGGTGGCGGCTGAGTTCTCATCGCGCAAGGAGCAGCTCATCTTCCTCATCAACAACTACGACATGATGCTGAGCGTCCTCATGGTAACAGCCCCCCACGTGCTCCCCCAAGAGCCAGCCTGTGCCCCCTGCCCTGGGGAACCGGCGCCCCCTAGAGGGGACAGGCCCCGCGTCCCATTCCCCACCCCTCTGAGCCTGCCAGTCCCTGCCCTGGGGCTGGATGGGAGCTGAAGCCCCCAGAGGGGAAAGTCCCTGTGTCTCATTCTCTGCCCCCCTGAGCCTGCCAGTCTGTGCCCTTGGGCCGGATGGGAGCTGGTGCCCCCTAGAGGGGACAGACCCCATGTCCCATTCAAACCTCCCCCAGCCATTTACCCCCTTGCCCTGGGGCCGGCTCAGGGCCAGCGCCCCATAGAGGGGAGAGGCCCCGTGTCCCTTTCCCTGCCTCCCCCCCATCGAGCCAGGCAGCCCCCCCACCTTGGTGCTGACGGCCCTGGGGTGACAGGTCACACCCCCTGCCCCATTCCCTCCCCAGGAGCGGGCAGTGGAGGAAAGCAAGGAGGTGGAGGGCTTCCAGCAGCTGCTTTCAGCCCGGTCCCAGGTGAGTTCCCATGCGCCATGCAACTAGGGCCAGAACATGGGCTGTGGGTCCAGGCAGGGGGCACTGACCTGGGGGGTGGGGATCTGGAACAGACGGGGGAGCAGGGCAACGGGGGGGGCTCTGGAACAGACGAGGGGCACGGTGAGGAATCCGCTGAGCCCGAGCTCCGTCCTGGGGTCACAATTGTCCCTTCTGGCCTTGGAATCGAAGAATGCGTCATGTGGCCTTTTGTGGGGGAGGGGGTGGAGGTGGAGTGGGTGTGGGGGAAGGGGTCTAACCACCTGGTGCTACCCTAAGGCCCCCCCCCATGGGGTCTTCCCACCCAGCGGAAACCTTCCTAGGGAGCCCTGATCCCAGCCTGGGACCCTGGAGTAGCAGATGAGTGGGGGGGCAAGGTGCTGTGCTGGGCGGAGGGGGCAGTGCTGGGGTGGGAGCGTGGGGAGGATGGGGGGGCAGGGCTGATGCTGGGATGGGGGTGGGAGTGTGGGGAGGGTGAGGGGGCAGGGCCAGCGCTGACTCTCTCCCTTCCCCCCCCAGGAGTTCATCGAGGAGATTCTGTCGCCCCCGTTTGGGGGGATGATCGCCTTCGTCAAGGAGTCGGAGTCACTCATTGAGAAGGGGCAGCTCGACCGGCTGCGTGGGGAGGAGGGTGAGACACAGGGACCCCCCCTGCGCCCTACACGATGAGGGTGACAGACAGGGACCCCGTTCCTACCCCCTTGTCTCCACCCCCCCACTGGCTACACCAGGAGGGGAGCTGCAAGGGTCCCTCAGCTGACAGTGTGAGCCTGTCCCTCGTGCTGGGTTCTCTATAATTGGGTTCCCCAGACTGGGGGGTGGTTCTAGGCTCCGCCCCCACCCCGGTGGCACTGACCCCCCGTCTCTCCCCAGCCCGGGTGACCCAGCTGGTGCGCGGATTCTCTACCACGTGGAAGGCCTCGGTGGAATTGCTGAGCCAGGACGTCATGAGATCCTTCAGCAACTTCAAAAACGGGACCAGCATCATCCAGGTGAGACGGGCAGCGAATCACAGAGCCAGAAGGCTGGCAGGGACCCCCAGAGGCCACCGAGTTCAGCTCCCTGTGCTGAGGCCGGGCCAAGTAAGGCCAGCCTAGCACTGCCCGCCCTGGGGAGCTTGTCCAACCTGGCCTGAAAAACCTCCAGGGATGGGGATTCTCGGGTGTGGGGGCTGGTCTGGGGTCCCAGCCTCCCCCAGCGCCTGGTCCAGGGCTTTGCTGCCCGGGGAGTTAGAAAATGTTTCCTCATCTCCAGCCGGACTCACCCCTGCTGCAGAGTGAGCCCCTTGCTCCGCGTCCTGCCTCCCAGGGACCCCCATCCTTTCTAGAAGAGCCTGGGGCAGAGCTGAAGGCTGCTCTCAGCCCCTCCTCAGGACTAAACGAGCCAGGTGTTTTTAACCTGATCTCACAGGTTGGGTTCCCTAAGCCTTTGTCACTTGTGGTGTTCTCCTCTGGCCTCTCCCATTTGTCCCCAGCTCTCCTAAACTGCAGGGCCCACAGCTGGACACACTCTCCAGCTCCGGCCAAGCGGGACAGTTACCACACAACACCCCTGTTAACGCAGCCCAGCGTGACATCAGCCTTTTCCACAGCGGCATCACGGGGCTGGTTCACACTCTGTGTGATGCACTGTAACCCCATCTCCTTCTCAGCGGTGCGCCCCCCAGCCAGCTAGGCCCTAGACTGGAGCTGTGTGTTTCAGTTCTTCTGCCCCAGTGACTTACTTTGCACTTTATTGAATTCAGACCAGTTCTGCGATGTGTCCGGGTTGTTTTGAAGTCTAACCCCGCCCGCCACAGTGCTGGCAACACCCCCACCTCAGCCAGGGGTCAGCTGCAGATTTTATAAGCAGCGTCTCGGCTCCATTCTCTAAGCCATTAATAAAACTATTGACTAGGACAGGAGCCAGGACCGACCCCGGCAGCACCCGGAGATATGCCCTCCCAGTCTGACAGCACCCGCCAATACCTAGTGTGCGGACAGGCTCCCCGCTCTCAGTCACTTCATGTAGCCCCCACATCCCTTGTTTGCTGAGGAGACTGGCCTGGGGGACTGTAGCTAAAGCCCAGCTTCCTCCCCAGACCCCTGGCAGAGATGGACAGGAGGGGGGCTGGGATGTTATTTAGAACCCTGTTACCCTGCATCTGCTCACCCAGTGAGGGGCTAATCACTTGGCCCAGCAGCTGCACGGGTATTGACCTTACGTATGGGAGGGGGGGGGGTGTCTGCCTCAGAGCCAGCTCCCGCCAGGTGCGGGGGGCTGGAGTGCAGGGGAGGAGGGGGCACCGAGGTCCGGCAGGTGTTAAAGAGGGGGGAGGTGCCACTGTCCAGCAGGGAGAGCCCTGTGGGGGGATGGACATGGGGGGGCTCTGACTCCTGCACGCTCTCTCCCCTGCAGGGGGCGCTGACCCAGCTGATCCAGTACTATCACCGCTTCCACAAGGTGCTAACTCAGCCCCCCCTGCGCGCCCTGCCGGCCCGCGCCGAGCTCATCAACATCCACCACCTCATGGTGGAGCTGAAGAAACACAAGCCCAACTTCTAGGAGAGGGGAGCCTGCACGTGCCCCCCTCCAACCCTGCCCCTGGCATGGGCAGATCGGCGCAGCCCCCTTCCCCGTGTGGGTACGGGGTGGTCTGTGCCCCCTCCCCCCACCTGCCCAATGCACTGTGGGGAGTGGAAGATCCTTGTCCCACATTTTCCCCCGCCCCATGGAGCCCTGCCCCATGCTGCTATAACCTCCTGGGACCAGTCCAACCCCAGCACTCCCCACCAACCTGTGGGGCCCCTATGGTTGGGGGGTGGCTCCAGGCTGCACCCCTCTCTGCCCTGCAGGGGCTCCCCACAAGGGAAGGGGAAGGTGAGGGACCTGCAGGTGGGTGTCGGGGGGGGGGCTCTCTTCTCCCCTCCAGATTGCTTGTGTGTGTGTGTGTGTGTGTGTGTGTATCTGACTTTGAACAGTGACAATAAACTCCCTGCTACTCACTAGCTTGTTTGGGACCCCTGGCATGTGATGGGGGAGGGGCAGAACAGCAGGGAGGACCCTCCCCCACCCTAGCACAGGGAGGGGCGATGGGGTGGGACTCAGGACCTGCGGCTGGTACCTGGCTTAGATACAGGTGCTCCAGCTGCCTAGACTCCCCCAGCTCAGACCAGTGTGTCCAGTTCATCCAGTACCTCCCTTCCCACTCCAGCCTGTAACCCCTCCCCAACCCAAGGGGGAGCCAGGACTCTTAGGTGCTCTCCCAGCTCTGGAAGGGGAGTAGGGTCTGGTGGGCTAGAGCAGGATCGGGGCTGGGAACCAGGACTCCTGGGTCCTCTCCCTAGCTCTGGGGGGGAGTGGGGGCTGGTTGGTTAGAGCAGTGGGGTCTGGGAGCCCAGTTCTGTGAAGATAGGGCCGAGGCTCCTCCACCTTCCCCCCCAGACCCCAAGAGACTCAGACGCTGATGCTTCAAAGACCCAAATTGCTTAATGAGCCACAAACAGCAGAACCACTGTGAAAAGCCCCCAAAGCAAATCCCCCCACAGCAATGGGGGGAAGCAGCAGGCATCCCTGTGCAGGGGGGACAAAGCAGAATCTAAGGGGTGCCCCTTAGGGGCAGGCGTCTGTCCTGGGAGCAGCACCCCGTCCTTGGGGGGATGTTTCCAGCTTTTGGGGGGCCCTGCCTGGGCCCCCAGCCCTGCTGGCTCCAGCGGCCGTACACGGGGGCGCAGCAGCAAGGCGATCGCTGGGCTGAGTTCCATGGGGGGACGGGCCAGTTCTGGTCAGAGGGGCCCCCCTACTTCTGCTCCTTGGTGGGGGCATAGTACAGCTCCAGGGGCTTGGTGACCTTCCAGAACTTCTCGTTCACCAGCTCCAGGGTGAGGGAGCCATTCAGAGTCTGCGGGGAGATGGGGTTAGTGGGGGGGGGAAGAGCACCCCCTGCTGCCCCCGCCCCCACAGAACAGCCCCCTACTGCGGCAATGGGGCCAGTCCTGACTGCCAGGGGAGAGCGCCCCCTGCTGACCCCGCCCCCAAGTGCATCAATGGGGCCAGCCCTGACTGCCAGGGGAGAGCGCCCCCTGCTGACCCCGACCCGCAGCACAGGCCCCTAGCACTGCCCTAGGGCCAGCGTTGCCTCCCAGCCCCCGTACCGTGAAGGGCCCCCCGGAGGTGGTGATGTAGATCGTGTACTGCTTCTCGCTCACATCCTCCAGGCCGGGGGCCTCGGGGCCAGGGGCTGGCGCCTCCTCCAATGCGATGCGCAGGGCCAAGTACTTGGAGAGGTGGTCCACCGTGGCGTTAGCCGTCGTCTTTACGTACCTGCCGGGCACAGGGCAGGGTGAGGGGGACTGCCTGGACTGCGGGGGGGGAAGTATGGGTGCAGGGGGGGGGTATGACTGCTGGGGGGATGGACGCAGGGGCAGGTCCCTTTGGAGGCTGCGCTTGGGAGAGGCGCAATGGGGTGGGAGCGGGCAGGCATATGTGACAATGGGGTGCTGGACTCTTGGGGTCCCCAGGCTCTCCCCTCTGCTGCAGCTGGCTCGGGGGAATCGTGGAATAGAGGGGCCCCTGGAGGCTGCTCTCACCTGGTCTGGTAGAACTCCCACTTCCTCCCAGCACGGGGAGCAGCCTGGGTTCTAGGAGGGGGACCCTGGGGCTCGGGGGCTCATGGAATGGAGGGGCCCCCGGATGCTCAGGGGGCTGCTCTCACCTGGTCTGGGAGTATTCCCCCTTCTCCACCAGCACGGGGTGGGGGCGGAAGACGAGTTCGATCTCGCTGCTGCCCGGCTCGACACCCGGCTCGGGGGTCCCACAGCCCCCCCCGTCATGCGAGGTCTCAGGGTCGGGGTCGGGCTCAGGCCCCGAGTCGTCGGAGGCGCGTGAGCGCTTGCGGCTGGGGCCGGCCTCAGGGTGGCTGGGGGCTGAGGCATTGCTCAGGTGGGAGCGGCTGTCGCAGTTGTCCTCCCCCCCGCTGAACGTGGTGTTGTCGGACTCCTGGTGCAGCTTCCGCACCCGCTGCGCCCTGGGGTGGGGAGGAGCAGAGCGGGGTTACTGGGGGGAGGGGCAACGGAGGGGGGTTATCTGGGGGAGGGGAGCGGAGGGAGAGCGGCTGGAGGGGGGAAAACAGTAGGAAACTCCCTGCAAAACCTGTGGGAAATGCCAAACTGAGCCAATAGACGCAGCACTCGCTTTGGGCCGGACCCCTCAGCTGGCCCCAGCCCCCCAGAGCAGGGCGTTGAGAGCAGCGCTAACGGGTGGGATTTAGGGAGGGTGGGGAGGGTTCCGAGGGACGGGCAGGGGGGCAGGGGCACGGCTATAGCGACACCCTGGTTCCTCTGCACACAGAAACTGTGGTAAAAACCCAGGAAATTCCCTGCCAACAACAGTGTGAAATGCGGCCGTGATCCTGGGGAGACCCCTGCCCGCCCCCCCCCAGGACGCCTCGGTCCTGCCCCCCCACCTGTGCATGGCCTGCATACGGAGCCCCTCCTCGATGCTGCTGCTGAGCGCCTGCTGGTTGTGGAGCCGGCTGAGCTTGGCCAGCACCCGGTCCTGGTGCGCCTCGTACTCGTCCCGGCTCGGGTAGATCTTGGAGATGAGGGCGTCGAAGTTGGGGTCGGGACGGAGCGAACGCTTGGAGACCAGCTTCTTCCGGCAGGTGGGGCACTCCTTGTTCCTGCACCGAGGGGGGGGGTTATCCCGGGCATGGGCGCCCCCAACCCGCCTGGCCCTTCCGCAGCCACACCCCCCACCCAATACACCCCCCAGCCATCCCTTCCCCGTCTGCCCCCCACAGCCACCCCTCACCCGATGCACCCCCCAGCAACCCCCTGATCCACCTAGCCCTTCCTCGTCTGCCCTCCATAACCGCCCCCCACCTGATGCACCTTCCAGCGACACCCCCGGAGCCATCCCCCACCCAATATACCCCCAACCCACCCGGCCCTTCCCCGTCTGCCCCCTGCAGCCACCCGCAACCCGATGCGCCTTCCTGCAACCCCCCGCCGCAGCCACCCTCCACCCAATACACCCCTCAGTGACCCCCCGACCCACCCAGCCATTCCCCAGCCACCCCCACCCAATGTGCCCTCCAGCGACCCCCCACAACCCCAGGTCTTCTCTGACCTGCTCCCAGGCAGCCCCATCCCTTCCCCAAGACTCCCCCTTCACTTCCGCCTCTCCCCGCAGCCCCCGTACCCGCTGCGCAGGGCGGTGACGATGCAGTCGGAGCAGAAGCGGTGCAGACACTCCTTGGTGGTCATGGTGTTCTTCAGCATGTCCAGGCAGATGGGGCACATCAGCTCGCTATGCAGGCTGCGTGGGGACACCGCAATCTCCGTGCTGTCCATGATGGCCTCCTGCCGGGGGGGGTAGAGGGCTGTCAGAGCCCAGGCACCCACAGACCAGCCACCCACTCCTCCCCTTCCAGCCTGGTCTCCCCATGCCCCCCCCCTTCCAGCCCAGTGCCCCCACACCCACTTCCAGCCTGGTCTCCCCCAGCCCCACCTCCCACTTTGGTGTCCCCCCAAGCCCAGCCCTGTGTCCTCACCCCCCTACCCCACCAAATCAGATCAATGGGTCCATCCAACCCCCCCCAAGCCTGTTATCCCCACCCCGTCCCATCCCCCAGCCCAGTCGCCCCCTCACCTCTCTCCCCCCCTCACATGTCTCACCTGGGGGGTCCGGTGCAGCTCATACAGACTCAGCTCCCAGGTCTTGCTGGCGCTCTGAGCATTGGCCGGGGTCGCCATGGTGGTGGGGGCTGAGGGGAGGGGAGCTGGGGGGGAGACAGATTAATGGGGAGCAACCAAAGCTGGGGTTACCTAGGAAGCCCCCCACATACACCGAGCCCCCCAAAGGCTGCCCCTTGAGCCTCCCACTCTTCCCCCATATCCCAGCCCCCAGGGTCCCCCGAGCCAGAACTGCCCCACCTCAAGTCACTAGGCTTCCCCCCCATTCCCAGCCCCCCCCAGGGTCCCCCCAGCTGCAGGGTCCCCCCCATCCCCAGCCCCCCAGGGTTCCCCCAGCTGCAGGCTCCCCCCGCTTCCCCAGCCCCCCAGGGTTCCCCCAGCTGCAGGCTCCCCCCCCTTCCCAGCCCCCCAGGTTCCCCCCAGCTGCAGGGTCCCCCCCATCCCCAGCCCCCCAGGGTCCCCCCAGCTGCAGGCTCCCCCCCTTCCCCAGCCCCCCAGGGTTCCCCCAGCTGCAGGCTCCCCCCCTTCCCCAGCCCCCCAGGTTCCCCCCAGCTGCAGGGTTCCCCCATCCCCAGCCCCCCAGGGTCCCCCCCAGCTGCAGCATCCCCTCCCAGGCCCAGCCCCCCAGGGTCCCCCCAGCTGCAGGGTCCCCCCCAGGCCCAGCCCCCCAGGGTCCCCCCAGCTGCAGGGTCCCCCCCAGGCCCAGCCCCCCAGGGTCCCCCCAGCTGCAAGGTCCCCCCCCTTCCCAGCCAAACAGGGTCCCCCCAGCTGCAGGCTCCCCCCCCTTCCCAGCCCCCCAGGTTCCCCCCAGCTGCAGGGTTCCCCCATCCCCAGCCCCCCAGGGTCCCCCCCAGCTGCAGGGTCCCCCCCCAGGCCCAGCCCCCCAGGGTCCCCCCAGCTGCAGGGTCCCCCCATCCCCAGCCCCCCAGGGTCCCCCAGCTGCAGGGCCCCCCATCCCCAGCCCCCCAGGGTCCCCTCAGCTGCAGGGTCCCCCCATCCCCTGCCCCCCAGGGTCCCCCCAGCTGCAGGCTCCCCCCCATCTCCAGCCCCCCAGGGTCCCCCCAGCTGCAGGGTCCCCCCCCAGGCCCAGCCCCCCTCACCGACTCTCCGAGTCCAAGACACAAACAACGTTTTTTTCCTCCTTCACTTTCGGGGGGGCGGGGCCTCCCCTCCACCAGATACGTCACTTCCTCCCCTCCCTCCCCGTGACGTCAGGCACTCCCCCTGCCCCCGCCGGTGATGTCACCCGCCCAGCCACGCCCCCTCCCGAAGCGTAACGGGGCGGGCGGGGATCCCGGGGAATCCCCCCC